CCCTTATAGTCTCAGAATCATCTGAGGAGCTCCCACAACTCTCAAGTTATGAGACACACAACCTTGGTTTCAACCAATTCCTCTGAGGATCTCTTGAGTTTTCTGACAAAGGTACCAACCTTTGAACACTTGAGCAAACTTCTTGACTTTCTTCATAGCCTCATATAACTCTTGCTAGGTAATCCTACCTCTTGATCTACTGCCCATATATCAATGAGATGCAGATGATGAATACAATGAACCACAAACTTGGTGAATAAATGTTGGTCAAATTTTGGGGTGCAACAGGGGGGTTGAAGCATGTTATCAAAATATTGAAAAACTAGCACTAGTCATAGTCGTTGCAGCGTGGAAATTGAGATCCTACTTTCAGGGTCATAAGATCCTGGTCAAAACCAACTATCCTATTCTCCAAGTCTAAAAGAAGCTCGATTTAGTAGGAAGGATAGTATCTTGGGTAATGGAACTCTCAAAATTTGACATCTAATACGTCATAAGGGGAAACATCAAATCACAAGCTCTAGTAGGTTTCGTTGCAGAATTCAGCTCTCCCTTAGATGAAGACATGCGTCTTGAATTGAAGTTATTAGTAGATGGAACCTCAAACGTAAAAGGAAGCGGTCTCGGGATAATCTTATAGAAACCTGGCGAAATACTCATCGAACAAGCACTAAATTTTGAGTTCACCACCAGCAACATGTTAGAACAAGTAAGTCTCTTGCTATGTACCTAAGTATCAAAGTATCTTGCTGAGAAGCTTGAGCCAAGTAAGTCTCCTGTTATGTGCTAGAGCATTGAAATTCTTGATTAGTTGTTGATTGAGCATAAAGTCTTAGACTGTGATTCTGAGCAAAAGTCTTGTACTTGAGAGTATAAGCATAAGTCTTGGATTTGTAGAACCTGAGCAAGGAAGTCTTGAGTTCATGGAACTTAAGCAAGGAAGTCTTAGGCATGAGGGGCTTGCGCAGAAGTCTTGGATTCATGGAATATAAGCAGGAAAGTATTGGACCGAGGGTCTGAGCAAAAGTCTTGAGTCTGAGGGGCTTAAGAAAGGAAGTCTTGGGTTCGTAGAACCTAAGCAGAAGTCTTGGTCCTGAAGGGTTTAAGCAAGAAGTCTCGGGCTAAGGGTCTGAGTAAAGAAAAGTCGTATACTTAAGTGTATAAGCAGTTGTAATCATGTTTGATTATAGTGGAAATCTCTTACGTTGCAAGGGCACTAGATCAGTCTCAGTTTGGGTGGAACCAATATAACTTTGTTGTGTTCTTGATTTGTTTATTTACTTCTGTTGCATCTGTTATCAAGTTCTAAACCTTCGTTCAGAATCTGAACTCTGTTCAGAAGTACAAAAAATTAGAAAACATAATTCAATCCCCCTTCTTGTGTATTTTCCTCACCTTCACATCAACCAAGCGGAGTACGAGGCTCTCATCATTGGAGTGATCCTCGCCTTAGAAATGAAAGCCTCCAACTGAAGGCTAAAAGTGATTCCCAGGTAGTCGCCAACCAATTTCGAGAAAGTACCAAGCCAAGGAGCCGCAGTTGATAAAATATCAATAAAAGGTACAAAATCTTTCCTCTCTCTTCACCTCTTTTGAAATAGAGCACGTCTCCCACGAGCATAATTTCAGAGCAGACCACTGTCTGATTTGGCCATATTAAAGACAATGGGGTTTAGCACAACCATTATCCAAGAGGCCTTCATCTCCCCTAGCATCAAGGAGGATGTGGTGTACTCCTTGGAGGTTGTTCTCGAATATAGCTTAATGTCGCCCATACTGCATTATTTGTAGTTTGGTGAACTTCCACTGGATGAGGGAAAAACAAGAAGAAACCGGAAACAGGTTTCCAAGTACACCTTACTCTCTAGAAAACTTTACAAAATGGGGATGGCTTCTCTCATGATGCGATGCCTGGACGGGCATGAAACCTCCTTGGTACTTGCAAGGGAGCTTACAACAGTCACATAGGTGGAAAATCCCTCACACACAAAATTTTAAGGGAGGGGTATGATTGACCTACCTTAATGAAGGATGTCACCACCTTTGTCAATAAGTGTGATCAATGCAAGAGACATGCTTCTCCTTTTGATATTTGTTTTTATGCTAAACAAAAGAGGCTTCATTTCTCTTTTAGTTCTCATTTTAATAATTCTGTTTTTGGTTAAGTTTATATGAATATTTGGGGCCCCCTAACCATACCATCTATGATGCGATATAAATACTTATTAACTATTGTGGATGAAAAAAGAAGGTTTACTTGGTTATTCCTCACGAGATTAAAATATGAGACATCATTCATCAATAAGTCATTTGTGTCATTGATCAAAACTCAATTCAATCTTCATATAAAATGCATTAGATTTGATAATGGTAGTGAATTCCTTCTTATAAAATTTTACAAACAATTAGACATCATTCATCAAACATCTTGTGTTGGTACTCTTAAACAAAATGATATTATTGAAAGGAAACACCAACATATACTTGGCATAACTAGAGCCATCTGATTTCAAGTAAATTTACCTCAAGTTTTTTGGGCTTGTGGTGTTGGTCATATTGTTCATATCAGGAATAGATTGCCTACATTTTTCTTAAAACACAAGTCACCTTATCAAATTTCGTACAACAAACTGCCTGACATCGCTAACTTAAAGGTTTTTCGGTCTTTATGCTATGCCTCCACCTTAAAAACAAATATAAAGAAATTTGACTCTAGGTCCAAAAGATGCATTTATCTAGGTTACAAACCTGGTATTAAAGGTCACATCTTGCTTGATTTGCATTGCAAAGAGTTGTTTCTGTCAAGAGATGTCATTTTATTTGAATAACATTTTCCTTATAAGCATGTTTCATTTGATGCTCAAGTCACTGGTCTTAAATCAAATGATTACAATTCTACTTTTTTAGATGAACTATTTGATCACCTCTACACATCCAACCACACAACCCAACACAGACCTACCCCCACTACTTCTATCACACATCCTGATATGCCAAATCATTCAACTCCCATATTACATACTCCAATTGATATGATTTCTGAATTATCACTACCTGTTTCAAATCTCAACATTGTGTTGGGAACCAATCTTGATACCAATCTTACTCCAAAGTTAACTTGCCTGTTAGAAAATATTCTCTCTAATACAATCCATAATTCAAATGCAGTTACACCCAATTTATCTTCTACATTTAAGTATCCTATATCATCAGTTTTATTATATGATTCTCTTTTTTGTACACAAACATTTCATTCTAAATTTGTCTACCATTAGTGAACCTTAAGCATGTGAGACAGTTGTTTGTGATGCTAATTGGAGAGATGCTATCAAGACTGAGTTAGCTTCTCTGATTAAAACTAATACTTGTAATCTTATTCCTTTACCTTCACACAAGAAGGATATTGGATGCAAATGAGTGTTCAAATTGAAATTGCATACAAATGGTACAGTTAAGAGATACAAGACACATTTGATTGCAAAATGATTCACACAAACTGAAAGGTTAGATTACATGGACACTTTTAACCCTATAGTAAAAATGACCACAATCAGGGTTCTCATGGCCATTACAGTAGTTCAAAATTGGCCACTCTTTCAACTTGATGTCAACACATCTTTTCTTTAGGGAGATCTTAATGAAAAGGTTTACATGAAGGCCCCTTCAAGTCTTGACTTGCCAAAACACGATCTTGTGCGTAAATTGCAAAGATCACTCTATGGCTTGAAGCAAGCAAGAAGACAATAGGACACTAAACTCAATGGTACACTCACTTCATCACATCACCTAGAAAATTAAGAAATTAGTGGTGGTGTCTCGATCATCATCATCAGAGGATGAGTATAAATCATTGGCCCAAGCAACTCGTGAATGTCATTGACTTCTATACTTACTTAACAACTTTCAGATCTCACACCAAATGCCAATCATCATCTATTGTGGCAACAAGTTTACTTTAAACATAGCTGCAAGTTTAGTTTTCTACGAGAGAACCAAATACGTAGAAATTTATTGCCTAGAGATAAGAGATAAGGTGATAGCTGGTACAGTTCATGTCATGTCTCTCACTTTAAAGGAACGCAGTGCTGATATACTAACTTTGTCATTACACCGAGTCCATTCAACAATCTTCAAGCCAAGTTAAGAATGATTGATATACATTCCACTTTGAGGGGGAATGTTAAATGTAGCAGAGAAGAAGATAATGTAACTCATATAACTAAAATAGTTGATAGATAATCAAAATTTGACATAGTGTTATAAAGAGAGTTACTAACACTCCTCTTATATTTATCATGTCACAAAAAATCCAAAAGAAAAAAAAGAAAAAGAAAAAAGATAGAAAATGATAAAGAATACTTTTCTAAAATTAAGTCAATCCTCGTCAATCCTCTTGTTCCTAAAAAGTGTAACTTTATGTCCATAACAACAAAGCGCACTTGTAAGCATTGAAATTCACGCGCCAAGCCACCAATGACTTCAGCTTCCTTACGAATTGACTTGCCAAGTCTTCACGTTCCCAAAAATGCATGCTTTATCTTGAATTACTGCAAACTATTTTTTGGGTTTTTCTTCTTCAATCAGGTCTTTCAGTTTACTTTCTCTACTGTGTGTTTCTTCATTATTGCATCTTTTTTGTTTGTGTATAATTTCATTATTTTTGCTTGTTCTTTACCCGTTTAATTCACAGATATGTTAGTTGAGAAAAGAGTGTAATAAGTAATACTAAGATATATTATTGAGTGTTTGCTTTGAAGTTTGAACACATGCATAAATGTGTTTGTTAAAATTACCAACTAACTTTTCCTCAATTTTTCAAACTTAATTGAAGCTTATTATAAGTTATAAGTCAATTGGTCATATACTGTTTTATGGTTTATATTTATATTTCCCTTTTCGAGTTATAAGTTGAATTGAATTGTTTCATTTTGAAATTGTTGACATGGTACATGGATGAATATTTTGATGATTTTTATTGTTTTCAGAATCATTAAGGAAACATGAATCGTTTCGATAACGATGAAGTTCCAATTCTGTCGATAGCACGTGCACAACAATCCGATGAACCTGAGATTTCTTCGTTCCGAAGAAACGTATTGAGGACACGAAGTGCCTCAATGTCTATTCCTATGGTTTCTTTGGATCATCCATATGAGAGACGACTGAATCTTGTTGGACATACTGGTCCGCTTCGATCTCCGAGGAAAACTCCGGATGGCCAAATGAGTGGTCCACTACATGCTACTTCTGCAACTGCTGGAAATACTTTTCAGAATAGTTTAGTAGTGGCAGGAAACACAGTAGGAGAGAATAGGAAGGATGGAAATCATTGGGATAATGATGATGATGACAGAAAAAATGAGCACTTGTTGAGGTCTGGACTACTCGGAATGTGTAATGATCCTTATTGCACTACTTGCCCAACTTACGTCAAAGTTTCTCAGCAAAGAAAACCAAGAGGTTCCGCTATATTTGATCCCAAGGTATCTTTCTTCCTAAAATAATAATAAACTATTAACTCTTTGGAACTTCTTGTGCAAACTTACCGTATCAGTATACTTGAACTTCTTGTTACCTTATTAATTTCCTTATTTACTGTTAATTTCACATAATTTCGTTAATGTTTTGAATGCTTACAGTTCCACAACTCTCTTTATGGTGATGCGAAAGGTTTTGGAAGAAAACTTCTTTCTCTCTGCTCTTTATGTACTCCTGGAGTTATGAACCCTCACACTAAAGTTGTACAACAATGGAACAAGTTTTTGGCCATATTTTGCTTGATCGCAATTTTTGTTGATCCATTATTTTTCTTCACAATATATGTGGACAAGGTATGATTCTTTTTCTTTTATTTAATTGTGAAATATTCCCATATCATATTAACTTTTACCTTTTTCCTGCTTAAAAAACATCACTTTTACTTATTCATTTTCTGCAGAATAAAATAAGTATTGATATCGACTGGAAAATGGCAAAAATACTTGTTTTACTTAGAAGCATAACTGATGTTGTGTATTTCTTGAACATTCTTCTTCAGGTAATTTCTCTGTAATCACCTTTTCGGACTTAATGTGTGTTAATCAATCTATTCATAGAATGAAATACCATTTAAATATAGATGTCTCTAATGGTTTGTCTTCTAATTTTCCTTAGTCTATATTTACCTATAAGAAGAAAAATGTGCATGTGTTCTGTATCTTAAACATGGTTGTTGAGTTTTAAGCATAGTTTAACATGCTTTCATAACTTAAAGATTAAATAACTCTAATAAGTTGCTTCTTTGCAGTTTAGGTTGGCTTATGTTTCTCCTGAGTCAACGGTGGTTGGTGCTGGAGATTTAGTTGACCGTCCCAACGAAATTGCTATTAATTATTTTAAGCGTTATTTTTCATTCGACTTATTTATTGTATTACCTCTTCCTCAGGTATACTACCTCCTATCTCTCCTTGTTGTTAGATGCTTGCACATAAATACTTTTTATCTCTTGAACTTCTACATGAAAAAATCTTTTTCCTCGAATAATAGAGATAGGGCCATGTTGTATTATTTTTGAAATGCAACATGATTAATTTAAACTGTAAGTTGTTTATATAAAGATAGAAATAAGAAAGCAAATGCTTTTGAAGGTCTTAAGCATAGCACTGCCACATCATAAAAGTTATTAAAGATAGAAAACCTAACTTGTAACAGAAATTAACATAGGCTCTTAGGATAATTGGCTTAACAAGGTATCACTATTAGAGGCCATGCTGCTAATTGTGTCAGGAAATAAGTTCACAATGCTCTTTTGTCTCTGCTGAGAGTCCCAGATCGAATGAGATATGGTCTAAATATGTGTTAAGTGAAGGCATAACCCAAATTTGATAATTGTATTAGAAATAATATTGTATGAACTCATAAAAGTTGTTGTCATTTACTTGCAGATAATAATATTGTATGTCCTACCAAATGACTTGGGGTATTCAGGAGCAAATTATGCCAAGAATCTTCTTCGCCTAACGATCCTAGTACAGTATATTCCTAGATTGTTCAGATTTTTGCCTCTGCTAATTGGTCAGTCTCCAACTGGATTCATATTCGAGTCAGCCTGGGCGAATTTCATTTTAAATCTTCTCATTTTTATGCTGTCTGGCCATGTTGTTGGTTCATGCTGGTACCTCTTTGGTCTACAGGTGAGTTAAATGAAATTTGAAGCTTCATTTTCAGGAAATACAAAATTTCTTCCTCAACAAAGTTTCATACTTTGCTTTGAATTCTCACCATGCATGTGGGGTTTGAGATGTCCTCGTCTTACAAGTCAATTTTGTAGGATTAAGTTAGACTCATCCCAATTCTAAGAGTTATATGAAAATATATTGGAAATATTATAGTTAAAATTAAGCATGGCAGGGGTCTGAGAAGAATGGTTCAATAAGAATCGAGAATTTAATTCAGTAAATGAGTGTTTGGTAACTTCCAAACTACTAACTTCTCTATTTTTATCCCTTTTTCCTTTTCCAGAGGGTTAACCAATGTTTGCGAGATAAACGTACCTCTGATTGTTTGGATTCCTCGTCTGGTGCTTTTTCTTATGGAATATATGCCAATGCTGTACCACTTACTAAAGAAATTAGAGTGATAAACAAATATGTGTATGCACTATTTTGGGGATTCCAGGTATGCATTTTTTAATTTTATTTTCTTCCCTCGGTTGTAATTATTTACATTTTGTCCTATAATATTGAGATGTTAAGATTCAAATGGGCTTAATATAATGTTCCTTCTTTGAAGATAAACTGCTTATTGCCGTATCTTCTTAATAAATGATATAATGAAAGAGAGTTATGAAGATAAAAATGTAATTTGATATGAAAACTTTAATGCAAACGTTAATATTGTTAGAACAAAAGTACTGTGAACACACAGTTAATGCGCAATAAGATTGTAATTTTAAGATGAAAGTAATAGTGCACACACACTTTAATGTTTTGACATCTTGAAAGACATCTTGGAGGAGAAGAAGAAAGAGAATAGAAATGATTCTCATTGATTGTATTTTCACATTACAAAATGTTATTTATATGTGTTACACAATAGCTTGCTAAGCAAGTCATCCATACACAAGGTAACTAACTAACAATTAATTTGTAACAAAATACTAACTAACGGTTACACATGACAGATAGGAATTAAAACTCAACATTCCCCCTTAATTCATAACTGTTGAACACTTATAACACCAAATTTCTTTCTCAAAAACTCAAATCTGTCAAGCTTTAGAGCCTTTGTAAAACCATCTTCCAGCTGCATTTCAATTGGACAATATTACACTTCAATCATTCCATTGTTCACTTGCTCTCTAATGATATGAAGCCTTGTATCGATGTGTTTACTTCTGCTATGTGAGATTGGATTTTTAGCAAGGCTAATAGCTGACTTGTTATCAATTCTGAGTATCAGAGGCTTTATCACTTCACACCTCAGTTCCTTCATCACTGAATCCAACCATATTGCTTGACAAACTGCAAATGTTCCTGCAATATATTTTGCCTCACAAGATGAAAGTGCAGTCACTGGTTGCTTCTTTGTACACCATGATATAGCTGCTTCATTGAACTTGAAAACATAGCCAGAGGTACTTCTTCTATCTGTGATGTCTTCACACCAATCACTATCTGAGTATCCAATGAGTTCACTTCTTTCATATTTACTTCCATTCGGGAATAACAGACCAAACTCCTTTGTGTCTTTTATATACCTAAGTATCCTTTTAGCAGCTGTCAAGTGAGTCTTCCTTGGAACATGCATGAACTTGCTAATCATACTGACTGAGTAGCAAATGTCAGGCCTGCTGTTGCGCAAGTATCTCAATGAACCAACCATTTGTCTGAACAATGTTGGACCAACTCTTTCTTCCTCACTGCACTCATCCAATTTTGAGTTTGTTTCTGATGAATTTGAAATTGTATTGCAGCTATGCATTTCAAATTTCGCAAGCAGTTCACCTATATACTTCTGCTGATGCATAACTATTCCATTCTTCACCTTCAAAAACTCCATTCCCGAGAAGAATGAGAGTTCTCATGGATCAGTCATTTCAAATCCAGATTTCAACTTGTTTTTCACCTTTTCAATCTCTGATGTCTTTTGTTGCGGTGAGAATCGGATATCAAGCTATTGATTAACTTGAATCTTTTAATTCGTTGAATTCACAACCGGACTTTAATTTATCCAAACGAAAGGTCTAAAGAAAGAAAGAACCTTTTGCGCGATGTAACAACAACGCTAAGAGATTTGGGGATCGGGGGTTGGTTATGCATAGGGTAGGTATTTCACTTCCCAAACATCTGTAGTACTCTACAGGAACCTTTTTTTGTTGTATGCTAAGTTTGCTAAGTGTTTGCTATGGATAGGGTAAAAGCTGTAGGTTAAGACCTAAAGATATATACACTAAGTTTCTAAATTTGCTCGCAAAGACATCGCGTCTTCTGCCTACGTATCCTAACTAGGATAGAATCAGAGCAATCGTAGTTCACCTCACTAGGTTTGAAGAACACTTGATTACGATCAAGGTTCAAAGGGGAACAAACATTACAATGCTTGTGTAGAGTTTAATCTCTAGATCTAAGTTGAACACTCAAGAAAGGGAAGTAAGTAATCATTTCCATGATCCTCACATAGAGTTAACAAACTCTATCCTAAGTTCTAATTGAAAGAGCACTCATAACAAGGAGTAGGCTTTGTAGACTTAAGCAAAGTCTAAAGGACAGGTTCTAATTTAACTAAGTGTACGAATGACTTAACGAAGTCGAGGGAGAGTGATGAGATATCTATGACCCAAAGGTCAATAGAGAGACTTTCCTTTGGAAGGATAGAAGAGGCAACTTGGATGAGAACTAAAGAGTTTCATCACTTGAGGAAAAATAAACTTAACGAAGCATGAACAAAAAAACAACCATGATGAGCATAAGAGACATGGTTACAACCAAGGCATGCAAGCGTATCACGATAGGCAAGCAAAGATGAGTAAAGTAAATGGTTACGACCTAAACATGCAAGCGTATTACGATAGGCAAGCAAAGATGAATAAAGTAGAATAAACATGCAAGCGTATTACGATAGGCAAGCATAGATGAATAAAGTAGAAGAAACATGCAAGCGTATTACGATAGGCAAGCATAGATGAGTTCTCACAAGACTCAATGAAAGATTAAGCATATCTTGACAAAAATGAAGGTAACGACCGATGCAAACAAGTATGGCTTCATGGGGATGGACATCAAATGAATCAAACATAATGCTCACAAGCAACAAGTAATTGCAATTACATACACAAAGGTTGACAAACATAGAACTCACATTACAACAACCAACTTAAGAAAAATAACTCAAAGTTTGAAATGATTAGGAGGGTAAAAGCCCTAAAAGAAGCACGAACGTTTTCAATGCAAAGTTGTTTTTAAAAAAGATTTTTTTAGAAAATTAATGCACCACATGAAAATATACACAAATACGAGATAGTTGCAAAAAGAACCACTCAAAAATAACAAAAAATGAGGAAGTTATGATTTTTGATTTTGTGAAGGAAATAGAAATAAATGAGCAAATAAAAAGAAACAAATGGCCATGGGAGGAGTTGAACTCACACCCTCATGCCCACCAACACAAAGCCTTACCACCTGGCCCACTACACGCGTGTGCTAAAGGGAGGGGAAAGAAGAAGAAAAGAAAGAAAACCAAGAAAATCATAAAAATGCCAAAAAAAAGGGACATCACTGAGGATCGAACCCATGCATATGGCATGATAGGGGACTTAAGGCGCATGTGACAACCACTGGGATGGCGATATATCCGTGTATTTTGCCACCCCTAAAATTTAAATACCTAACAAGACATGAAAATCTGGGCAAGGCAACACTCATGAGAAGCAAGAAAAACATGGATACGACAACATCGTAACTTCACCAATACTCAACCAAATGCAACAAAATTTTAGTCCATCTTGAGTGAAATTTCATGAGGAATTCATTGGTGATCTCAGTTTTTTAAGATGATGCATACATTTTGAATTTCGAAAGCAAATGCAAGTGGAAGCTTAAAAATGCATAATGGAAACCAAGGGTCAAACCAACTGTTTCTAAACTCAAGTAAGGGCTAAATCAACTTTCAAATATGTGATTTAAGCCTTCTAGGTGCCAAGGCCAAACAGAAATGCTTTAAACAAGGAACTGGTGTGTGAATGGTAGTGTGAAGCTTTGAAAATGCAACTTGAATGGCACAACTCAGAACAGCAAGAAACATGAACATGTGAGGGTATGCACAACTCATAAATGCATAAACCAATGATGCTGATGCAAAGAATCAAACCAAATCAAGTCCAATAAAAAAATGACATGTCAATTGCAAAGAATGCCTTAAAAATGCATGATGATGGCCATAGTTCAACATAAGAGGAATCCTGATCAAATGAAAGTGTGGACATCTTATAAACATGTTATCTAATGATCCTAGATGCCTAGATCAAACAGAAACAGTTCCAAACCAAAAAGTGGCATGTAAGTTGCAAGAAATGCCTTGAAAATGCACTTTGGAAGTCATGAATCAAAACTGATATGAACAAACTCAAGGAAAGCCACACACATGTTTCAAATATGCTACTCATGATTATGATCAAAGGAACAAACTCTAATCCAAACTGAATCATGACATGACCATTCAATTGCAACTTTATGGAAGTAATTTAAAACAAGCTTGTGCCTAATCAACATTAAACAACAGTTCATAACAACAATTATTCTTAAACCACAATTTGTAACAGCTACTGAATCATGTTAACAGAAACAAACCAAATAAACATGTTGACAGTTGCAATGAAATGATGCACTCAACAGGGCTCTCTTAGAGCCACAACAATTTAACAATGTTGATGCAGAAATGAAAGACATGCCAATCATAACCATGTTAATCTAAAACCAACACACATGCACATCTACACAATGATACTAACAGAAAATGGTCAACAGAAATGCTATATGCTACATATCTATACTATGATACAAAATGAACATGAGGAATGCCAAATACCACACATCTGCATAATGATACAAGAACATGAAATGAACATGTGAAATGTCAAGTGCTACACATTTACATAATGACACAAAGCACACAAAGATGAACATGCTGGCAGAATTCAAACAGTCATTTGATGAATCAAAACGCCTAGCCAAACACAATGCAAACAAGGCAAACTTGCCTAACACAAACACAAACAGCCACAGTTGAGCATCCACCAGCAAAAAAAAAACCACAAGTGGCCTAGGACCTTGCCTTGACAGTTAGAGTTTAGCAAAACTCAAAACAGAAATAATTCCTCTTGAGGACCGAAACAAACTTTTGAGCATGACTAAAATAACCCCTTAACAGATTTGCCAAAACCAGAACATACTCCTAATGAGATTTGCAACTTAAGGCCACAGCAAGAACAACATTAAGGAGTCAATAGCAATAGGGCAATCAGCTCTTGGTATTCCAATCAATGTTTTGATGGATTCCAATCACAACTTCACAAATGACCTCCTCCAAGATCAACCAACATACATAAACACTAAAAAGGGCAGTCATAGCATTTTAAGACAGGTGAGATTCATTAGAGCATGGAACATTGGCATTCAAGT